CCCCCCCGTAAGGGAGCCCTGTTTGCACAGACCCGCTGAGCCAGGGGTGGGTCTCTGGCAGAGAAATCAAAGATGGATGAGAGGGCCAGTATCATGAGGATGCTGAGCTCCCAAATGCCGCTCCCTGAAGATGGCCAAGGCTCCAGACATGGGCTTCTGTGTGGCCCTCTGATGAAGGAAAAGCACCTTCTGGAGCCACCTGTTGGGGGTTCACCCACTTGGCTCCCCTAAAGAAAAGGGGAAGCAGAGGACCCTTAGCCCCTGTCAATTTTATTCCCTGAGTCACCAGCTTCATTTCCTACAGCCTTGGTAGCTGAACCTTACTCCTTCCACGTGCCGTGGCTTCCCCATGTCCCTCACTACCACCCCCAACTCCTCCTCCCAGTTTCCCCAGCTCCCTTTGTTGCTCAGGTTCCAATTCTGGTCCCCTGGTTCCCAGTTCTACCAGAAAGTTCTGGTTCCGGAAGGCCTCTTCCCAGGCGCCTCGGCCCAGCTCAGGCCTCCATGACCAGAATACAGGTCTGCCCAGCTCACGGGCAGCACTGAAATCATGGGCATAAGTGTTCCCGAGTGCCTGAGCCATCTGGACTTCCGAAAAGGTGTCGTGGGCCTGGCCACGGGCGCTGGGGCCATCTACCTGCTCTACAAGGCCATCAAGGCTGGCATAAAATGCCAACCGCCCATCTGCTCCGGCTCACCCATCTGTATCGCCCGTGAGTGTCCAGTCCCTGGGGAGAGGGCTCTGCCCCAGGAGGCACCTACTACTGAGGCCTCTTCTGTGGGAGGGCCCAAAGGTGACTCCTCAAAAGTTCCTATCTCCCTTCTGTTCCTCTTCCTCTACTTCCTCAAACCCACCTTGCTTCCCTCTAGCAAAGGCCTTGCTAGGGATATGAGGGCAGAGTTCTCCGTGAGTTCAAATGGGTCCATAGCCATCCTCTGGTGTACCTAGCTTCCAGAAACCCACGGCTTAGCAATTGGGCACCAGCCTCTCTGCCATCTCCCAACCCAGAACTAAAGACTCCCAGAAAATGGCAAATTGGGGAATTTACCTACCTAGATCTTCCACTAAACCAGATGGCCTGTGTGTGCAAATTAAGGGGGGGAAACATTCCCCTTTTGCAAAAGGAACCCTGATGGCATAGTGGTTATGCCTTGGGCTGCTCACTGCAAGGTCAGCAGTTCGAAACCACCAGCTCCTCGGGAGAAAGATGAGGCTTTCTGTTCCTGTAAAGAATTACAGTCTCAGAAACTCACAGGGGGCAGTTCTACCCTGTCTTATAGGGTCATTAGGAATGGGAATCAATTTGATGGCAGTGAGTGACTCTGTACTGCCATCTGCTGGACTACTGTTGCTATATCATGATCAGGCTGGAACACTGCCCCTCACTGCCATATAACAGAACATTGTCATAATAAATAGATACATCTAGGATATTTGTGATGTCTGATGCACTCATTCAACTGTACATGGTGGTCCTGCACTTAGCAAGAAGAAGAGGCAAACCAGCCTTATCTCCAGTCCCTTTGCCCAAACCTGAAACCCCAACCTTTGTTCCCTCGGAACCGCTGCCTGAACTGGGTGTCTAGGCCTGGCAATTGAGCGCGAGCGGCATGGACGGGACTCAGGAGAGCTCCGGAGGCTCATCAACTCTCTGGAGCACAAGCAGGACGAGTACGCCAAGAGCATGATCCTGCACAGTATCACGCGGTGTGTGTACTTGCTGGAGGCTGAGGTGAGGAAGGCAGACGCCCACCTGGCCGGTGGCATCTGTAGCTGGCTCCCCGACCACCCCACCCCCACACTACTCCAACACCCTCCCCACCCCCACCCCCCTGTCACCCCAACCAGCCAGATTTGGCCCTTGGATCTGTTTTCCTCTGACTCATTCTGGGAGGGATGTGCTGAGGGCTGTTGGCAACAGGAGGGGCAATGGGCCCAGGACACCTGCTTCTGCCACCTCTCGCATCTCTGCCCGCACACTCTAGGCCTCTGCGTGTAGCGTTGATGACATCAGTTTGGTGGGCAGCATGTTGGATGACAAGGACAACAGTGTCAAAATCCAAGCTCTGAACGCGCTTAAGGCTTTCTCTGGTATCAGAAAATTCAGGCTCAAAATCCAGGTGAGTCCAGGGGCAAGTAAGTGGCGGGCAGTCGCGCAGGACGTCCACAGTCTGTGTATGGGCCCGTTAATTGGCAGAGAACAAATGGGATAATTTTCCATTTTATTTAGGTCTGGGATTAGAATCCTTGGAAGGTTTATTTTTTGTTGAAAAGCAATAGGGGGTAGGGGGAGTCCTGATGCTGCAGTAAGTTAAACATGGGGCGCTGACAGTTTGGCAGTTCTAACCCATCAGCAGCCCCCATCAGGAGCGAGATGAGGCTGTCTGCTTCTGTAAAGAATTATAAGCTTGGAAACGCTCTGGAAGCCGTTTTACTGTGAGCTGGAATCCACTCTCCAGCAGTGAGGGTCATTTTGTGTTTGTCAGTCCCTTCCATATTCAAAAGGAAAACTAGACCCCAAACACCTTTCTCTGACTTTCAAATGGCCCTCCGCCAATGGTCATGATCTCTCCCAAATTAAAAATAAAATTACTTAGAACCCATGAACACTATAGTCTATGTGTGAGGGAGAAACCGTGATGACAAAACAAAGCCCACTTACCCACAAAGCGGGCTGTGTGGTAGAGGCCCCCATATTGCCTTCTCCAATCCCCTTCTCCTTCCTCCTCCCTTCTTCCAACCCCATCTGCATGTTGTTGATCAGTTCCTGCATTTTCCTTGTTGTTTTAACATGTATGGGTGTAGCCCTGCATAAACTAATGGAGGGAGTCGGGCAATGAACTAAGTACAATACAGTTTGGGAAGTCTCCAGACTTTATCTATATTGAAGCCTGCAGTTTGTGTTTTTCTGTAGTCTGGCCTTTTTCCTCCCTAACATTGGAAGATGCTTCCTTACCCGTGTAGGTAGCTCTTGTTAGTTGCCATCCAGTCAATGGGCCCATGTGGGCAGAGTAGAACTGGGCTCTGCTGGGTTTTCAAGACAGACCTTTTGGAAGGAGATCACTAGGCCTGTCTTCCAAGGTGCCTCTGGGTGGGTTGGCGATGCCAACCTTTTGGCTAGTAGTGGATCGCTTAACGGCTAGCCCTTTCCTTTTTCACAGCTGTATAGTATTCTTTTGTGTGACTTTCCTGCCTTTTTATTTTCCCATTTGCTCACCGGTAGGCGTGTGAGTTGTTTCCCAGGTTCCTGTGGGACTCCCCACTCCCCAGTGCACTGTGAACATTCTCCAGAGAATGTCTCAAGGATGGCAGGAGTGGAACGACTGGGCAGTGGGTATGCCCAACTCTTCCAGAAGGTTTGTCTCCATCTGCACTCCCATCACCTCGCCGAGTGTGCCAATTATGTCATAACCTTACCAACACTGCTTTTTTTAAAAACTTTAAAATGTTGCTATCAGTCCCCCTCCTTTTAATAGATGTGTGTGTGTGTGTGTGTGTGTGTGTGTGTGTGTGTTCATTCCACTAGCTGGCTGCCTCTATTCATCCTCAGCTGTCTCAAAGCCTGTAAGATAGTGATTCGTTCACAATCAGATCTCCCGGAGAGCTCACTTGCACAAAGATTTCAGGGCCGGCAGTCAGAAAGCCCAGTTAGACAGGGGAGTTTGCTTTTGAAGCAGCTATTGGAGCACCAGTCCTTCCTCCCTTCCCCAGCATCTTCATCCTCAGGTTTCCGCCCCTGTCTTCCTCAGTCTGGGTGAAAGCAACTGTTAGATCCTCGGGGGGAACTATCTCGATTCTTGGCTTCGCATGAGAAAGAATTCACGCCAAAGCCTGGTTTGTGATCCAAGTGAGTTTTTATAAAGGATCGAAGAAGTTTCAGGTTTACAGTTAACTGAACACAGGTCTGCACCCCCACATGTGGCGACCTGGAGAGGGAGAAGGGGGGAGAGGGAGAGGGAGGGAGGGAGAGAGAGAGAGAGAGAGAGAGAGAGAGAGAGACAGACAGACACACACACACACACACACACACACACACACACACGCAGACCTCGGCATGGTTGAGCAGATGGCAGAACAGGAGCAGCTGTTAAAAGAGGGCGGTGGGCTCCAGGTTCCGGCTTTTCAGGGCCTTCCTCTATGGTACCGATTGACCCCACTGACTGAATTAAGGCTACCTGGCCTAGTTTGGGACCCACCCAGGTGTACTGGCGCAGGGCCTGAATTGGCGCATGCCCTTTAGCCTGTATTGGTCTCCAACCTCCTGTAGGGCCCCCTAGGCATGGAGAGGAACAACCCCTAGCCGGCTACCTAACACAACCACTCCATCTCCATCTCTCGTCTCCATCTCTGTGTGCTTTCCTGGGTCTCTGCCTATTGAGACAGAGCATGCCAACTGTTTCTGGATGTAGCCACTCAAACAACCCAGTAACCTTCTAACCCACCACATCAAAAATGGAGCTCAGCCCCCTCGCTAAAGGCAGGCCACCGGCTCTAGAGAAATAGGATTCTGTTGGCCACCCCCTGTCAGTCTTCACAGCCCTCAGCTTATGAAAATTAGTTCTGCTTCCTTCTTGCCCCAGTTCCGCCACTTACACGGACTGTTCTCTGCACTCCCTGACTGTTGTACCCTACTGGCTCTCCCTTCAGCCTGAAAACTTGCTAACTCCCACTTATCCTTCAGGGAACCCTAGTGGTGCAAAGATTAAGCACTTAACTACCAACTGGAAAGTATTTCCTTTGGAAAAATCTTGGTAACGGGATGAAAGGAGAAACTGCAGTCTGGCTGGGAGAAACTATTTGAAAACCAAATATCTGATAGAGGACTCTCACTTCGATGACATAAAGACCTTTCAAAATTCAATACTGAAAAAAAGCCATTGGGAAATGGGCAAAAGGCACGGAGAGAGAGGTTCATCACAGATGACAGATGTGCAGGAACATAAGCACATGGGAAGAGGTTCGACATCGCTCCTGCTGCCACGGGGTTGATTCTGACTCTTGACAGCCCTCGTGCGTCAGGACTGTGGCCCATTGGGTTTGCAATGGCTGGGTGGCAGTAAATCAATCACTTTCTTCCCAGGTGTCTCTGGGTTGACTCCACCTTTCAACGTTTAGGTTAGAAAATGTTCGCATGAACTCTTTCACCACCTCGGGAGATGAAAACCATGAAGCTGTGTATGAAGACTACACCTTTTAGAGTTGTTATTGTCGTTGTTAGGGGCTTTTGAGTCAATTCCAATCCATAGTGACCCTACATACAGCAGAATGAAACCCTTCCAGGTGCTTTGCTGTCCACACCATTGTTCTTATATTTGAGCCCATCCATGCAGCCACTGTGCCATTCCATCTTGTTGAGGGGCTTCCTCTTGTTTCCCTACTTACCTACCTCCTTTACTGAGCACCATGTCCTCCTCCAAGGGCTGGCCTCTCCTGACAATATGAACAAAGTACTTGAGACCAAGTCTCCCCACCCTTGCCTCTGAGGAGCATTCTGGCTGTACTTCTTCTGAGACAGATTTGTTTGGGGGGCAGCCTACAATACTTTCAATGTTCTTCACCAGCGCCATCATTCAAATGCATCGATGTTTTCCCTCCAGTCTTCGGTCTCCCATGTCCTACTTTCACCCGCATATGAGACGATTGAAAATACCACGGCTCAGGTCAGGTGCCCCTTTGTCCTCGAAGTAACATCCTTGCTTTTCAACCCTTCAAAGAGGTCTCATGCCGCAGATGGAGCCAATGCGATGTGCCGTTTGATCCACTGACCGCTGCTTCCCTGAGCAGTGGTTGACTCTGCCCGTGGGAACACAGTTGCTCTCCGCACGCTGGGTCTCCATGAGCCACGGTGAACTTCACAGCGTGAACCACAACCATGCGAACAGTTCCCAAAGACTCACACTGTCAAAGGTGGAGAAACCAGATCTCTCAAACACTGTTGGTGAGACAGGCCACTCACAAACACACACAAAAAATAGTGAACAACCCCACCACCACATATACATTTATCCCAGAATCAAGTATTTATCCTAGAGGAACTAAACCTTACATAAATGTTCAGAGCCGCTTTCTTCGTGATCGTCAATAACTGGAAACAACCAAAACGCCTCTCAAACGTGGTTAAGCAAGTGGTGGTCCATCCATACTCCGTACATGGAACACTAATCAGCAGACTGAGGCTGCGCACAACTTGGCTGGCTCCCCAGGCATTGCTGAGTGAAAGCCAATGTCTGCTTCCGCTTATAGCGTTCTCAAAATGACACAACTTAGAGAGATGGAGACCAGCTGGGTGGTGTCCAGGGATTAGGGAGGGAGTGGGGACAGAGGCGACGTGGGTGTGTCTATAAAGGGACAAAATGAAGGAGACTTTTGTGGTGATACACGAGTGTGGTGGTCATGACACAAGTCTCCACGTGTATCAAATGACAGAAAACCAGCCAGAAAGTTGCATCCGTGTCAACTTTCTGGTTCTGAGACGCTCTCATTCTCGCTGCCGTCAGGTCATTTCCGACTCACTGTGACCCATGGGGCCAAGGTAGAGCTGGCCCTTTGGGTTCCCAAGGCTTTGATGATCTTTACAGGACTAGACAGCCTTATCTTTCTTCCAAGGAGTGGCTGGTGGGGTCAAACCACTGATGTTGTGCTTAGCAGCTCAATGTATAACCCACTACGTCATTAGAGATCCTTCTGGTTTTGATACTGTACTGTAATCATGAAAGCTGGACCCATTGTGAGGAATGGGGTGAAGGGTGCGTGGAATCTCTCTGTACTGACTTGGCGACTCCCTGTGAATGTATACTTTTTTTTTAATCGTTTTATTGGGGGCTCATACAACTCTTATCACAATCCATGCATACATCAATTGTGTAAAGCACATTTGTACATTCATTGCCCTCGTCATTCTCAAAACATTTGCTCTCCACTTAAGCCCCTGGCATCA